CTACAATGAACTTGGACATTCACAATCCCAGTAAAAAACTCAGATTAATGAATGAGTGAACCTTGGAAAATCTAAGGATTAATATAGATGAGAAAGATCAATGACTGGACACCAATCTCCTGTTTTCTTAGGCACAACAACAAACAGGATTAAAGCCCTGGTAGAACAAGCATGACTTTCTCATTAATCACAAACCAACCAAACTCTGATAGCCCTAGAAGTTGGGTGGATAATAGTGGTGAAGATGTGAACTAAATGACTAATCCTGACTCAAGGACCTGTAGTGTTCCTGGATCTGCAGTTATCACCTTTCCAGAAATCCCAGACCTTGAAGGAATACAATAATTACTGACACCACTGGTGGCAATCTGACTGAGCAGCAGAACCCTTGGATACAGACGGACTCCATTCTGGGTACCAATGTATCTAGGGACTGATGTCGGGACTTTTGAATAAGTGCAGACCAATGACCCCCTATAGGAACCAATGAAATTCGAGATGCATTGATAACAGGAATGAAGGTAGAAGCCATTAATCGAACCAACGTGCATGGTAAGAATGGTTCCAGCAATTAAGTTTATGTTCCTGAGAGTCTTCCAACAAAGTGTAGTGTAAGGAAAACAAAACATTGGATTTTAGAGGTGTAAGTCTATAGACTTACCCTGTCCCACTAGGTTAAATTGATCTAAACAGGTTAACTATAAATTCTACCTTAGAACTCCTAAATTCAAAGAGCAAATGTATTATTTGAGTCAGGATATGCTGACACCAAGCAATGGTAGACTAAATCACGAAGTTCTGACAACCATGTTGGATAAGGCATAACTGTCCCTTCATTTAACTGACAAGTAAGCCTCCCTGCATGAACCACAATGTCCATGGATGGAAAGAAAACTAAATATTCACTCCCAGACCCTTCAGCCATCAAGTAAAGTGCAGGCTCAAAATCAACTGGTGAGAGACCCAAAACATCACACTCTCGATGAACCAACTGAAGAACACAAATCCAAGGAAGCTTATCCCAAAGTGGCTTATTTCACTGAACCCTTTCGAGATGGGTCACGGGTGAAAGGCCATGTCATCTTGTTTGTTGACTCGCATTCAAAATTTTGTTGAACTACTATTTCATGAATTTATGTCATAAACTTTGGCATCAAACTGTAGATTATAATTCAAATTTTAATACTATACATTACTCAATTTCTTAATTTCAGAGTAAATATTAAAAAACAGATAAACATTGATTTTTGTGTATCACATGGTATGTTGAATGCAGCACTGGTTCAAATTAGATGTTTGTGAAGTCAAAATAGCAAGTCTATAGTTACTGATACTGGCAAGCTAAAATATAAAATAAGAACGTCTTATCTTTTCTATTTGCAAATATATTGCTCATGTAATAAATCAATCACAGTGGTACCCCACCCACATCTTTACATTTTTGGAAACATTTCCATATATACACTTACTTCTATATATGACATGAATAACCAATTGGAAGCTCAGAATGTCCCCTAGTGGCTTTCTCAGCCATTTTAACTTCTTAGAACACCATTTCTTTCTTTTCAACCAATATTTCAAGGAGGTAGGGTGTGTTTTTAGTCCGCTCAAAATTTCATATTTTTTACATCAAAATGCATCTTAGTTACTAAGCTTGATAAATTAGTGGAATTCTATGGTATTGATGTGGTAATTTATGATTTTTTAGTTATTCAAATGTATATATAAAACCTAAAAAATATTTTGTTTCATATCCTCCACATGCACAATTTTTAAAGGCTTAGCAACCTACGTCAAGCAGCAACCAAGTACAAAGATCATAACTAGAAGAGATAATTGCTTTACTTCTTTATCTACTGGTCTATGTTTAAGTAAAATAACTTTAAGCACTTATTTCAAAATAGCAATAATATATATATATATATATATATATATATGTATGTGTGTGTGTGTGTGTGTGTGTGTGTGTGTGTGTGTGTGTGTGTGT